AAAAAGTATTATAGGCAATACGTTTTTGCAAAAAAAAAAAAAAAATTTATTACCAGCAATAAATTTTCGAAAAAAAAAAAATTCTAGCAATACATTTTCAAAAAAATAATATTAACAGAAATACATTTGATTCTCAATAAAAAAAAAACCCTCTTTACAAAATGCATAAATGAAACCTAACTGATTACTTACAAAGAATACATATTCTATTTATATGAACCTATCCTAAAAAATTTGTCGGCCTTAAATAACCAATTGAGGTTGATATGCTATAAACCAAACTAAACTATCCGTTGAAAACCATCTAAGTTGTTAAGGCTTACGTGTCTCTGGTAACAACTGTTTTTTATACATTATTCGGACTATTGCCATATTTATTCAACGTTTCGGCCGTTGTACGCTCCGGCCTTCTTCAGGTATTTGGAAAGTCGAACTGAACCTTTTATTTCACTCACTGTAGGGTAGACTGTTCTAGTTTCACTTGATGTTAGTTATCAGTTTATCTCCTGTTAATTTCCCTCTGAAAGTTCTCCTTAACCGGGTATTGAACTCACACTCTTTGGTCCCTGTCACTGGATCTAACCAACGCCTTTATACATTGGGCTATGTGTCCTGTGCCATATCTACTGTGAAACATTACATAGTAATTATTTGCGAATTTTGACTCAGGAGCTCAAGGAGCTGGTTATGAATTTCTGAGTATTATAAACCTAATGTCTTCAGCAACCATTTTTACCAGTGTTCATATTGCAATTTTGCTGCTAACGGCCGAAACGTTGTAATAAATATGGCGACAAAGATGAGGTCAATAGTCCGAATAATGTAAATAATGTACATAATACCTCATCTCAGAAATATAGACAGAAACTGTTTTTTTATCTTAAATTTTTTCGTGTATTCAATTTTTCCTTTTCATCAGGGGAAAGTCGTATCTTTTTTTAAATTATCCTGATACTAATTGAACTAAACACCGAAATATTAATTAATTCCATCAACACTCTTGTCTGCTAATACAATTTTAATTACGTACAAAAATGTTTTTTTGAATTACCGTCATCCTGTTGTTATTTAAATTGTCTGATTTGGGTATTTAAAAATATATATTAAAAACAACAACTATAAAATTTTTTTAAGTGTATTCCAAACTTTTGTAAATTTAAAGAATTACTTTAATACAAATCGTCCGATGAAGTTTTAAAGGATGAAACGCTTCACATATTTTTTCCACTTTATCATTAATTTTCCTATCATTGTTCTGATATATAAACAATTATATATCATTTTCCCCCTATGAATGTCATGCAAGCGCCAAAACAAGACGCGGTATCGCTAAGTATGTTATGCGTTATTTTGCTCCGTCCATCATGCCTTTAATTTGTCCTGCGAGTATCAGATTTTCCATGTCCTCTTTCCTCATTATGGGCTCTAGGAATTTCAACTATCTTCCTGATGTTAAGCATAAGTTTCCCTTTTGTTTCTATTTTCTCTAAAACTTCATCGTTGATCACATAACCAGTCGATGGTATCCTCAGCATCTTTTTGTAGAACCAGATTTCTGCTGCTTACAGTCTTTTCATCTTTGAGTAGATTGTCTAGCACTCGCTGCTTATAGGACAACAGATAACACGTAACGGGTTAATACTCTTTCTCTTGTTTCTAGTGAAGGTTTTCTTTTTCTTAATACTCTGTTTAGCTTTTGGAATGCATCTTTAGCTACCCGTATGCACCTTCTGATTTCAGCGTGGCACTTTCTGTCCTCTGTTAAAGCACTAACTAGATATTTAAATTTTTGTACTTGTTTAAATTTGGTATCTCCGATTTGCAATTCGCACTTTGGGCCCATCCTTTTGCTAACAACCATGTATTCTATCTTTTTGCAGTTGATGTTTAACCCACTGAGCCTTGACTACCGCTTTACCGGTGGTAGAGGATAATGACGTAAAAACTGGTTGAACAGTGGTAGAAAAAAATGACTTAAACGGTGGGTAAACATTTGCGTCGTGTTTTGCTATTGGTTGTCTTATTTTGAAGAGCCAATCAGAAAAGCTGTAATATTCTGATGTCATCGAACTTATATCAACATGTCCGCGCCTATTCATTGTGTTTTGGATACAAAAAATCGTTTTTTCCTATATATATATATATATATATATATATATATATATATATATATATATCCAGGAAAGAATGAGCAGCTCTAAAAAGAGTCTGCCCAAAAATGGTCTACTGGCATAAAAGTGATCAATGCCATAAGTAACGGTAGAGTTTTAATATATGTTTCACACATGGCTGCCTGATGATTATAGTCGTGGCCAGTCACTGTCTGTTTTAAATTTTTAAATTATATATATATATATATATATATATATATATATATATATGTGTGTGTGTGTGTGTGTGTGTTGTGTTGTACACACAATGACAATGAGAGAGAAATATTTGTATATATGTGCAGGGAGAGATACATGATTAAGTAATATATATATATATATATATATATATATATATATATATATGTGTGTGTGTGTGTGTGTGTGTGTGTGTGTGTGTGAGAGAGAGAGAGAGAGATACAGAGAGAAAGTTGTATATATACGCGGGAAGACATAGACATTTATATATATTTACGTGAGAGTCACGGTGAGAAATTTGTATTTATGAGAAGGAGTGACACAATGTGCAATTTGCATATTTGTGTGAAAGAGATACAGAAATCATAAATTTGTATTGTTCCGTGGGAGACCTAGTGAGATATATATATATATACATACATATACACGAGAAATTCCTTGCTTGTGGCACACAAGCAAGGAATTTTTATATTTGTACGGAAGAAACACATAAGTGAAAGAGTGATTGAATATAGGATAAATATATATGCAGATATATAGATAAAAGATGAAATATCAATAATAATTGTTGCAACCTAGAAAAGGTTACTGAATGAGGAATAAGCAAAACGGAGACTGGAAATGAAATGGTAATCTTTATAACTGTTGTATAGGAATAAAAATGTCGCTGCCGACACTTGAATTTGAACACGGACGCCAAAGAGCAAGTCCAGTCAACCTCATCTTGAACTAATTAGATCACATGACGGGAAAAGGAAAAATATATATATATATATATATATATATATATATATATATATATATATATATATATAGCGGCGCATCTGACGTCGACCGAGTATTGTTCGAAAACGTTACTATTATTGTATCTGCGATTTACAAAGTCTCTCCTAAAAACTGGCATTGCAAAAATAACATCAACAAAATACAATACTCGCCAGCGACGTGAAGTAGGTAAACCACTGCTAATGGTGGACTACTTAGTATATTACCCCCACTTACAATAGTGTCCAACGTATTTATGAAGATTGGGACATACTCATCAGTGTTCATAGGTACGGAATATAATAATAATAATAATAATAACAAATAATAATAATAACACATGATCTTTAGCGCCTAAGAAAACCCGTCGACCAGAAAAAATACCAAAGTTTGACGCTTTCAAAGGCGAGTAAATGTTGATCTTCACTTTTGTTCTAAAAAGAAAGTCGGCCTACTGTAAACAAAAGCTACGGCACGTAAAAACACTAAAAATTACGGGGGGTGCGAGAGAAGAGATGGATTTATACTTTTAGAAAGCCACATTCTCCATTCGGATTTCTGTGTCCCATTTTCTGTCTACTGTTATAACGTTTTCCAAAATACGTTTTGCTAGAAAAGTTGGTGTATGTATTTATGTACACGTGTAAATTTAACTTCTCTATGTCTGTTCAATTTCTCTTTTCCTTCGACCCATTATTTTCTTTCTTTTTTCCGCTAACATTTCCTTGCATAGATATACAAATATCATTATAGATACATAGACAAAGACATGGTTAGATAAGGTAGATTGATAAATCATTTGTCAAAAGTTCTTATTCTTTACGTAAAAATGGAATCTGAAAATCGAATCTCATATTAGCGCTTTATATTTGGTTGCTGTAAACCGCAAAATGTAGTGTTTGTTGTAAAAATCGAAATGGCAAATATTGACAGTTTCGTTTCGTTTTAAGCTGCAGAACGCTGCGTCACCCTTCAGTTATTTAATTAAAAATATTCGCTGCAGATGTCTATGTTCTTTTGTGATCTTTATGAGTTTCAAAAGTGAAGTTTCTAAAATTGAAATCTCTTGTCTATTACACAAGAAACCGTTGTTCCTCGGCTTACTGCAAAGCTATATCAAAAAATGGGCGAGTATTCTGTAACTTTCGGAGTCAGAGCGTAAATGCTTCACCTATTCTTGAGAAAGGTATGCCCCCCCCCATACACACGCAGGCACGCGCTAAGAGCAGGGATTTTAAAGGTTTTTACCTCACTTCCTGCGAATGGACAAGCATAATCTATAAAGAAATGTGTTACTGAGACGACTAAATCTAAGCTTAAAGAACGATTTTTGATGCATCTCATCAAATATCCTCTTGTGTCATGAGAAAGATATGAAAAGAGGATAGTAAGCAATTGAAAAAGAAGAATCTAGGGAACGTAAAAAAAGAGAGAGAGAGAATAAAAATACCAAATTAAGAAAGAAAATTGGAAAGAAGAAAGAGAAAATCATAAAGAAAGAAGAAAAAGTAGAAGAAAGAAATGTAAAGAAACGATAGAGACAAGGACAAAAGGTTGGGAAGAAGAAAGAAGATAATAAATGGAAAAAAAGATTACGAGGAACTACAAGGAAATTTTAAAAAGTAGGAAAAGGAAAGTGAAAAGAAATAAAACGAAAAAAAAAGAAAGCGAAAAGAGAAGAGAGAAAGCAAAAAGAGAAACAGAGAAGAAGAGGAAAGCGTGAAGAGAAGAAAAAAAAGATAGGCGAAGAAAGTATGTGAAAAGATGAAGAAAGAAAGCGAAAACAAAAAGCAAATGAAAAGACAAGAAATCATAGAACGAAGAAAAAATGCGAAAAGAAAGAAAGTAAAAAATGAAGAAAGAAGGTGAAAAGAAAGAAAGCGGAACAAAAAATTGAAAAGTGAAAAAGAAAGAAAGCAGAATGAAAAGGAAGAAGAAAGCGAAAAGAGACGAAGCAAGAAAGAAAGCGAAAAGAGAAGGAAGAAGAAAGCTAAAAGATAAGAAGGAAGAAAGAAAGCGAAAAGAGAAGCAAGAAAGAAAGCGAAAAGAGAAGGAAGAAAGAAAGCTAAAAGATAAGAAGGAAGAAAGAAAGCTAAAAGATAAGAAGGAAGAAAAGAAAAGAAGCAAAAAGAAAAAAAAGGAAGCAAAAGAAAGAAAGAAAAGAGAAGGAAGAAAGAAAGCGAAAAGAGAAGCAAGAAAGAAAGCGAAAAGAGAAGGAAGAAAGAAAGCGAAAAGAGAAGGAAGAAAGAAAGCGAAAAGAGAAGCAAGAAAGAAAGCGAAAAGAGAAGCAAGAAAGAAAGCGAAAAGAGAAGGAAGAAGAAAGCGAAAAGAGAAGAAGCAAGAAAGAAATCGAAAAGAGAAGAAAAACAATGTAAAGAGAGGAAAAAAAGCGAAATGAGAAGAAGGAAAGAAAGTGAAAAGAGAAGAAGTGAAAAAATAAAAAAATCGAAAAGCGCTGAAAAAGGAATAAGAAAAATGAAGAAGCAAAAGGACAGAAAAAAACAGAAGTTGCAAAAAAAAAAAAAAGGAACAAACTTTGGAAACAAAATCAAAATGGGAGAAAATGAATGGCAGGAAAAAAGTGAGAAAATAATAAATAAATAAAATAAAATAAAATAAACAAATGCAACACCAACGACGGAAACAAGAGAGACAACCTGACATTATCCTGTCTCCATTCTAAGAGAAGTTTCTTTCACTAAGTGACCTCAAGAAGAGGAGAACGGACGGACGAACGAACGAAGAAATGGTACTTAACCATTTGCAGATAGATGCATTTGAAGAAGAAAAAAAGAACAAGTGTATATTCCTTTGTTTTTATGTAACGTGCGCAGATGTATTATACATGTATATTTGCACGGTAATCCATGAGCACTCAAAAACATTTGCGAGCACACTTATTCTCACGCATGCGCACACGTGTAAGGCGGGAAAAATAAGTGACGACCTCTAAGTCCTCACGCACAATCGCCGGCAAGCGCACGGCCTGAATGTGAAAATAAATAGTGGTGTATTGAAATGCATAAGCGGTCAGGGACCCACGCGAAACATTGCCAAACAGTTAGTTATGGAGTAGGAACATTGCACGTATATTGGTGTTTGTCATTCAGAAGTCGAGAGACGGGGATACACGAAGGACGTTTTTATTTCATTTTGCTTTTTTTTTTTTTAAATATTGACAACCATAGCACACATAAGAGAGGTTTAACAGGCGCACGCGTGAAACTCATATCAACAAACAAACTCACCTCAATAAATTGACATTGGCATCTCCGTCGTTCGTACGTTCGCATACTGGTAAAAAGATCCATTTGCTGGGAGACGTTTAATGGTCTATTTAAACATTTACGTTAGTTAATCAGGGTTCCAAACTTTGGTTAACTTTTATACATTCTTTTTCAAATGGTTTGGTCCATTTAATTTCAGGTAAAAACAAAGCAATTCCAAGTAAAGGCGGAGCAGTCGTGTAACTTGTAGATTTGCTTGGAGGCGAGTATATTTATTTGACATTCAAGTCGCGTCGCGAGGCCAGTATTTTGTTAGGGCCGTAGGGGTACCCCCGCTGTAGCAACAGTTGTTGCGTCTTGGACAAGATAGCCTGACGAAGCACATACATCTTCAGGCTTCTCTTGAATTCAGATTTTTCCTTCTGCCATACTGGTTGCTCCCATAAGGCAAAAGAGCGCAAACTATCCTGTTATTTAACCCATAGCTGGAGGAGTATGGATTCATGTCCTTTCGCAATGTGAATGAAACAGAATCGACGAGAAATTGAACTCGGTATGCCGATTTCACTTTTTGTGCTGATATTCATTACAATATGTTTACCGATTTATTTCGGCATTGCTAATCTACAATTACTGCAAAACATTTCAACAATGGATTTATTGCAGATATCCAATAATTGATTAATGAACAACTATGTCCAACATGAGGAATTCATTTTTATTATTTCTTATTGAACAGAAAGCAGAGAAAATGTGACTTTAGAAACCAATCAGAAAGCGCTTTCATCTTTTACAAAAAAAAAAAAAAATAATAATCATCAGCTATGCATAAAAGTAATTTAAGAAAAAAATTGACTGAATTATAAAACTGTCAAAAACAATAATATTCGAAAATTTTATTCCGCGATATTTGATCATAATTACAGCGCTAGCTTTCTGTCAGCATTCGATAATATTAAAAAGAACACCCACTAAACTGTAATTGATATTATATTTATAATCTTAAATTTAAATTCTAAGTGAAGAAGGTAATGACTTCGGTTGTAAACCGTTAAAAGTTGGTAATATTTTCTTTCAAACTTTGTAAATGACTCCAATTTGCATATAACGATTTTGCGGTCGGGATATTTTAATTCTACAGGGCTTGTGAAGAAAGAAAAAACAGGAATTATTGTCTTGGGACGTTGATAGTTATAACATTACTTCAGGTTATCTCTAATAAACCAAAATAAAAGGGCTTGATATTAATAATGGAGTTAGACAACACAAGTTAATAGCTTTGGAAACAGTAAATATTGTGGAATCGGGTTTTGTCATCAATACCAAATCGAAGAATTAACATCTATAGTCGGGCATCGTTGGACAAAAAAAAAAAAATAATAATCATAGTATACACATCGAACAAAGGCATTGGAAGAACGATGAATAATATTTCCCCATTCTCCGTCAAACTTTAAAGAGCTTCGAAGATTTGCAGCATAAGACATATAAATTTGAAGAGGACTGATTTATTAGTAATTAACAAAGTCACTGAAGAGGAGAAATCATACAGATTTGCAATGTTTCTTCAAGTCGAAACTGCTCTCATGATGATCGTATAATCTTATATTTCACATATTCATTATTTACTATTTTAATTGATATCCCAGCCACAGTTAGACTGACTATTGGGGTTCACTTTACTAACAATCATTTTATTTAGTTTTGGAAATGATTATCATTTTAAATACACATTGGGGATAGTTTGAATATACTTGTTAAAGTGTTTTCCCCCCAAGTCCCCACAAAGACTGTACATATGGGATTCGGAGAGCCGAGTTCGAATTCCAGTCAAATCCATTACATTCACTTACGTGCTAATACCCTTGGGAATGATATGAATTCTCTTCTTCCCCCCCTCCGAGCTATGTAGTTTTGTTTCTCTTTTCTATCAACACTGTGTTATCTGCATATCTTACGTTGTTCAGATTGCGGTCGCCAACAATGAAATCCTGGTAGCACTTCTAATTCTTTCAGAATCGACACGCTTTATAGGTTGAATAAGTCCGGCGAGAAGACACCTCCCTGTCTTACACTTCTTTCTATTTTTATATATATACTGGACTCATTTTGTATTCGTATGCAGGCCGTTACAAAATGAGTTCAGTAGATATAAAAAATAGAAAGAAATATAAGACAAGGATTATAAATCCTCTCCCCCCCACCAGCTGTAGGTAAATAGCAGGACAGATCGGGTACTGCGGGGAAAAAAAAATCTGCCTCGTCAGTCATGTATTGAAAAATATATGATCGCCTAAGCGTGTATCAAGCATGGCACATAACTGACTGACTGAGGTCGATGTTCGTGGTGAAAATCTGATATTGGGTATCTGTATATGAATATATTGTTTAAATGTGGTATTGTGGTTGAAGCGACAATATTCGAGCGGATGAATCCGTGATTGAGGCGAGCTAAGCTACCGTTAAGTGAAAACCAAACTTTTTTCCCTCCTCCACTTTGCCATTATGGCGCATTTGTACGAAATTCTACAATTATTATTTGCTTTTATTATATCGAATATGAATGCTAAAATCTTAAAACAGCTTCAAAATCTTTATTATGGATTCTTTGGTGGCCTTCGGAGATTCAAACGAACAATAATTCTAGAAGAAATATATTTGACAATTCCAGGCTCTTCTTTCATACGGAAATGAAACTAACATATATGTTTAAAGAATTTTAGCACTCGACAATATTTTTCTTCTCTGTGCTGAGTCACTTTAGGACATCAGCGTCCATGGCTCTCCACCACATCAAACCCCCTTTGTAGATCTAAGCAATGTTTATCCGCTTACTATTTCTGCAGTCCCCCATTCTGCCATTCTATTTACATAAGCTTTGCCCCTCTTGTATTCAGCTTGTCTTGTGGGTGTCAAATTCGCCAAGACCCAGAAATTTCAATTGTCTTTTTCTCCCATTTTACTTGAAACGTCCCCTTTGTTCAAATGTTCCGACCATGTTATTCTCGATCTCCTTATTTGGAACTACATTTCTAAGTCTTGTCTTCATCAGTGAGGGAATTTTTCAAAATTCACTGCTGTATAAGAGGATTGATATTACATTGCAGTTGAGGACTCCTGTCTTTGTTTCTAACTGAATTTTCCCGTTTCTTAATGTTTTGTTTAGCTTTATTTGTTTGTTTTGTTTTACGGCATATCATCCTAAATGGGTTATTTAATGCCAATAACATTTTTATTGCTGATAATATTTTTTTTTCAAAATGTGTTGCTGGTAATATTTTTTCCTTCAAAAACCTGTTTCTGGTTTCTGGTAATATTTTTTTCTTCAAAAATCTATTTCTGGTAATATTTTATTTTTCAAAAATATATAGTTGGAAATATTGTTTTTTTTGAAAAATTTATAACTGGTAATATTTTTTTCTTGAAAAATGTATAGCTGGTAATATTTTTTTAAAAAATGTATTGCTGATATACCCCTTTTTTCAAAATTGTATTGCTGGTAATATACCCTTTAAAAATGTATTTCTGGTAATACATCTTTTTAAAAAAAATCTGTTGCTGGTAATATTCCTTTTTTCAAAAATGTATTGCTGGTAATACTTCTTTTTTCAAAAATGTATTGCTGGTATTAAATTTTTTATAAAGTATTTCTGGTATTAAAACCTATTTTTACACTTTCATAGTATTTTGACCCCAATTTGGGGGTTAACTATTTACCCATAGCTGGGACCCTAACACATGATACCATCTGGGGTCAGGATGAATCTGGGAACACCAGCAATTAAGAGGTGGCTCCACGCTCCTCAAAACCTCCTGATCAGAGGTCTTGTTGTTGGACGTAGTTTGTCGTCTTACCTAGTTAGCTTTTGTAATGTTAAACATCATAAAATAGAAAACACCAACTGAATTGTATCATGTTTTTAATCATTTCACCTCAAGCAAAACGATAAAACCATTAAAACACAAGTAGTCACTGAGAGTGAATGAAACTGAAAATATATGTTAAGAGAACGGAGAATAAAAGAACGGGGTACAAGGAGTCAGAAGGTGACCATTGACATTGTATTTAAATTTTTGAAAATCTTACTTGACAGGAAAGCAACAAACTAGAAGGGAATTCCACAGGCGAGATGTGTGAAAAAGAAACTATTTGAATAGAACTTACGGCTTTACTAAGCAATTTCAACAGTAGAATGATCAGACCTATCTACTAATATCTATATACTAATATCTACTAATATAGTACTACGCTTAAATTGGTGAAGTCGAGGAAGGCTCATTAGAAAAAATTGATATGAAAATATTTATAAAAAAGACACGCGGAAGCTACGTTAAATCGTTGGAAAGTGATTGAAGATGAGATGCCAAGTCAAGACCAATAACATTGCAGATTCTTCTTTGGGTTTTATCAAGAATCTCTAGATACATAGCAGGAGCACCAGACCAGATATGGCAACAGTATTCAACGTATGGATGAATAGTAGACTTATGAATATGTCAGATAGATTCTGGTAAACAAACAAAAAACTGTCTAGCCCCACACAGAGAGCCAACATTCTTACCAACAGACTTAGCAACTGATTTAATATAATCGTCCCAATTTACGTTTAGTGAAAAACGTTAGGTCGAGAAGTATCTAGATGAATTTTGGCCGTCTATTTCTTTCGGAAAAATCTTTATCTGGAATTCGATCCTAAGAGGCCAGTTTAAAACTTACGTTTTCATATTTTCCACCAAGATCTAAATTATCATCTGTAAAAGTGTATTATGGGAATTACTCCTGGAAATAGCTGAAGTCTAAATTGAATTTAATGTTAATAAGGAGCCTTTGTTGCAAAAGAAGCTGACCCAAGTATGTTGTGGGTTCACACTAAGAGATACCAAAGTAAGCTTTATCACAGCAGAACATCAAAGAACTCATTTCCTACCTTGTGTTTCGATGTAACAAAATCCTTCCTGCTGATTCATTTGCATCATTTGTCATTTGTATAATACGCAAAGTAAGAGAATAATTTCCTTTTTTTTTGTGATTTAAAAAAATTTCATGTTGGTCATAGCTCTCCAGA